TCGGGCGCTTATGAAGTATGGGGATACCCTTAATTATAAAAGCGACTACAAAAATGCACCGCAAACCCAGGAAATGGATTTACCTGCCCACTTTTCGAGTTGTAAACTCATCATGCTTACAACACGCTGTGTTTAAGCAGTTCACAAAGACTTCTCATGTAAACTATCAGCTTGAATAAGGAGTGTTTGTTGGTTATTGTGCGCTGATCTATATCTAATTTCAGGATAATTCAATATGGCAGAAAAGTTATCCAACGCTAACACGTTGTTTTCAACATACGACCTTGATATGGATTCCATGTGTATTTTTATTTTGCATCTCTCCGATACTTACGGCTCAAATAACTTACGGCAGAGGTTTGCCTCTTCCCTGGACCAGAAGGCTCATATTGAAAATGGTACATAAGAGAAATCATTAGTTGCATTTTTATGAGAATGCTAAATAATTGAGTAATAATCTTCCTACTAAGAATATTGTTGAGGTTTTCGCTATACTTCTTGCTTGTGACGCATTATTTCTTTTTGTTACCTCCTTTATAAAGGCGGCTACTGTTCGCGTTCCCTATGCTGTTGAATTCGTTTATCCCCTGATGTTATTCCTGACCATGGTGAGTTACTCATCTTGAGAAGTTAAAATCAAACCGATTGTCCGTTCTCATATATCGATACAATTTTTGCCCAGATTCTGCACACACTCTTTATATATGGTTGTCGGCGTTGTGGTAAATTAACTTCCGGTGGTTTGTTTCTCTCTTGGATCATGTTTACAGTTTGCGGTTTACCTGAGATGGTGTATTGGCTCCATGTGAGCTGGAATCTAAAGGTATTGATGTTTAAAAAAGAGGCGCAATATTTCTTCTATATTTTCAAACTTAAAGGATTATCGTGATGTTATGCTTCCGCAATATCTTGCTCATATGGTATGGTGGCCGATATGCTTAGTCGAGTTAGTACTCCACTGTTTTGCTGATACTCCACCTTTTTCCTCCAAAGCCATCGATAAGGACAAAGTTAGTTACAAAATCTTGCATAATTTGTGTCATAATGCAATTTTGGTTCGTGCTTAATAGATCACGATTAGCTTTGCTTTACATACATGATTAGCACAGCAGATTTTGGGGCTCTGTTAATTGATGCATTGCCAGCATATTCAGTAGTTTTACTTTACCTTAATCAAGA